CAGTTAAGGTTATTTATTCACTCATCTCACAAATTAGCACATCATAATCAGATGACATTTCAAAATATTTAATCTTCACAACCTTCATATTTTGTTTATAATTTATTTAAAACACATTTTTTTCAGTATAATGGCAAGATTCTAAAAACTTTTAGAGAATGTAAGTAAATATAATTGCATGTAAGTTGTACTACTTTTTAAAAATGTTCTCTTCTTCCATAAACTAAAGGCCATGTGTCTTGGTCTGTATTGGCCTACCATGGCAGCAGAGCTTTCCAATATACATGTATCTTCATCTTTGTCATTTCAGGTGGACACTCCCAGGATCGTAGGACCACCTGTGTAGTGATTATCTGAGGCTTTTGCTTGCCCCATATGACTTCTTCCTTCTTTGGGAGTTGGTACCTATATCCCTGTTAGGAAGCTTCTCCATGTGGATTATGGTGTTTTTGCCTGGGTTCCCCAGAAAGCAGAACCTGAGGCAAATGGCTTATGTGCTACTACTTTATTAGGAAGTGCAGCCTCAGGGAGCAGTGAGTAAGGGACAGGCAGGGGTGCAAAGACAGCCGATATGAGAATGTGCTATTGAGCTGTCCTCCAAGAAACCATTTAAACAATATTCTTAGGAGAGTCTCTCCTGGAGGAGAAAGAGGGAAGAATTTATCTATCAGCTTCCATCTGTCTTTGGTCAAAGGTTTATTCAAAGTCATACCACTAGAATGGTGGGTCAAAGATGCAAGTGCAGGAAGTCTAGCAGTGGAGCCCAAGCTCTCAACCACCTCTCAAGATGCCCTTCTGAATAAAAGTCAGTGATGAGAGCTAAGAATAAAGCAGAAGCAAGGGGAGGGAGTAGGGGGTATTGGGGAGGTGGGGAACAGGGCATGACATGGAAATTTCAGAAAACCAAGAAAGGCTTCATTGAGGTGATGCTTGAATAAAGACCTGAAAAACAGGTAGATCTCTAGAGCAGGAGCATGCTGGGAAATGCAAAGAACCTGAGAGGATGTGTCTGAGGAACAGTGAGGTACAATATGGCAGAAGCAGTGTGAATGCGGGGGAGAACAGCAGAGATGAGGTCAGAGAGAAAAAAGGGGGTACAGATCATGCAGGGCCTTGGGGGCCATTGTAAGACCTTTGGCTTTTGCTCTGAGATGGGAAGATTTGGAGGGTTGGGAGCAGAGGAGTGATGTGCTCTGACTTAAGTGTTAATAGGATCATTATGATGAGTAA